CTGAGCGGTAGTAAAGAATACCAGAGAGAGAACAGAGCCACGTTATATTCAGTAAGGATTTGACTCACGAGAGTCTGTGTACTGCTCAGGGTTGGCCGTCTCAGAGACTTTCTGTTGGTAACATCTACACGTCTACATGTAAAGTGATTTGCTCATTGTGCATTCTTTTTATAGGAAGCAACACAATGTCTCTGGCCATACATAAACCTGAATTCTTCTAGTGAAAATGACAACTTAACATGCATATACACTAAACGATGGCACAGCAAATGTATTGTAGGCTTTCCCTAAAAAATCTGTACTACTGTTAGCTAATATTGGCAATATTATTGGTGTTGGGAACAATCCCAAATTCAGGTAAATTATATGCTGATAGTAAGGATGGTCTGCTCATTTTAGAATATGAAGGTACAGCTGAGAGCTAAAGCAGCTTAACCACAACTGCACATCTAAAAGTAAGTTACTAACATGCTTTACAGGGAAACAATCAACTGTTTACTTACAAAGAAATGAACAGTATTATTATTAGAATATTATATATTTGTGGTACTTTGATTTTAATGAGGAGAGATGGAATATCACCCAAATATTACATAAAAGTTATAAATGGATTTGAATGCCATTGAGATAAATAAGTATTTGATTGCAAAGCAAAACATGACTTAATACTTGAGAAACGCTTAAAACATTTCTTGTGCTCGGTCACCAGGTTTGCACCCATCTCAGGAGGGATTCTGGTCCACCCCTCTTTCCAGGAACTCTTTGAATCTTTTATGTTCTTGGCTGACCCCCGGCAACTTCATCTTCTTTCCATAGGACTGAGGTCTTTAGCCACTCCATTGTTGCCTTGGTGGTATGCTTTGAGTTCCTGTCATCGTGAAGTGCAGTCCACAACCCATCTTCAGTGTTCTGGACAACACTCGTCTCCACCCACTCTGTGCTACCTGCACTACCTGTCTTCAACTCTTTAGTGTCCTGTCCATAGCTTGGGATGGATGACCCAGGGAAGTGTCCTCTATACTGTTCGGTGCAGTGACACACTGGATTGTAAATCAATCACTATGTGATTCAACTTTTAGCTTTAACTCTACAGTGAACTGTTTTTCATAAACTGTTTAAGGCAGACTTTTTTATAAATTGTCCTCCATTTTTAGAAGATCAAAATAAACGAGACAGACTAAACATAATTTTAAATATAAAAACTCTTTTTAATATGTGGATGACAAAACTTTGCAGTCAATGACTGCCTAAAGCCTCGAACCCATGGTCAGCACCAAATGTTGCTTCCTCCCTGGAGTTGCTCTGCCAGGCTTTACTGCAGTCGGCCTGAGCTGCTCCTTGTTTGTGGTTCTCGCTGCACTCAGTTTTAGCTTTGCAGCATTTGGCTGAACCTGAGCCTGGAGTTTACCTCTGTACACGTCAGACTTCATCCTTTTACTTATCAGCAGTCACATCATCAATAAACACTGGTGACCTGGTTACACTGGCAGCATGACGTGCCCATACATGCAACAATGCTGCTGCGTTACACAGATAATGTGGTCTGCTTTGAACCATGAGCCGTTTCACTCCTCCAGATTTTTCTCTTCTCATTGCTCTTCTACAAGTTGACGTTTGTTTCAGTTTGTTTCATCTGTCCAAAGATTTCTTTTACAGAACGGTGCAGATGTGCACTGCAAAGTCTGATCTGACCTTCCTGGTCTTAATCACCGGTTTGTACCTTCCTAAAAATCCTCTGCTTTCCAGTCGTGAAGGTGTCTCTTGATTGTGTAGACTTTGACAGGCATACACTCCTCTGCTAAAGGGTGTTCTTGATTTGGTTAGATGTTTTGTTTTTTACTGTAATTCTGTCATCATGTCCTTTAGTTGTCTTTTGTGGTCTTTCATTCCTTCTTGGCATTGCTGAGCTGGTCACTGTTTTCATTCTTTCTAATAAGCTAAAGCTTTTGCTGTCTCTCTGACAGGTTTATTTGGGTTTTTAAAAATTCTGATATTATGTCTGCTTCATTTGTCATGAGAAACGAGAGGGCAGGCCATCAAACAGCTTGTCACTGAATTGGGGCACTGTGTATGAGCATTCTTGTTATTCTCTAACAGGTTCTGCAAAATATTTGCAAAATGAATTAAATTCAAGCTGAAAGTCTGCACTTTACTCACATGTTGATTATTTGACTTGCGGCGTGCAGCTCGGATCTCAGCTGACCCTTCTCACCCTGGACACAGTCTGTTTGACCTGCTCCCCTCAGGCAGGAGGCTCCGGTCCATTCGCACCAGAACCTCTCGCCATAAGAACAGTTTCTTCCCCTCTGCTGTTGGACACATGAACAATAACCATATGACTGTCCCCGCCACTAACACATGACCCTACGCTGTGTCACTGCATCATTCCATGTTTGCACTGATCACCACCTGCACTCATGTATATATCTTTCAACGTAGCACTCTTAATTCTTACTCTCATGTGTATATCTCATGCACATATCTTTCCACGTAGCACTTTTAATTCTTATCCCCACTTTTATTTTTTCATGTCTATTTAAGTGTTATTTATGACACCATGTTTGCACTGAAGCACCGCAGCAATTTCCTAATGTTGTAAACCTGCTCAACATTTGGCAATAAACCCCATTCTGATTCTGACTTAAAATCCACAGTAGATGTTTACAAAAGCAGAAGAACAAGAATAACGTCTTTGTTCCAAACTTTATTCAGACCTTCAGTATTTATCCTTGCATGTTCACCTTTCACCTCTCTCCCCGATACTCACACACATCCATTCTGTCTTGCTCGTGCTGACTGTCCTTCCTCTTCTTCCCAGAGCATACCTCCACCGCTCCAGACTCTCTTCCAGCCTCTCCTTAGGCTCATTACAGATCTCAGTGTCATCTTCATATATCCTCCTCCACAGAGACGCCTGCCTGACCTCAGCCATCCTTCTCTTTCTCTTATTTTCTATATTGATCAGCTCCTCGAACTATTCACTTGTTAGCATATTTCCATCTTCATCATTAATCTAAGCTGCTTAATCTCTCTGTCTAGCCAATGATTCCTATTCTCCTTCTTTAGTGTCAGTCTAACATACCTCTCACTATAAGCCTCTGCTTTTGTCACCGTTCTCTTCGTTGTACACCTAGCTTCCCAGTACTCACGTCTACTCATCTCTTTGATTGTCACACTTTTTCTTCCCACCCAGAGCTTTTCAGCTCCTCCCTGAACTCTGTGTAATATTCGTCTTTCTTCAGCTTTCACCATTTAATCCTTTCCTCTGCTTTCATTCACTTTCACTTCTTGAATTGAAAGCCATCCTACAGACTACCAACCAAGCGAGCTCTCCCCTGATACCATCTTGTGGTCTCCTGTCTATTTTAGATTTTATCTTCTGCATAAAAATGTAGTCCACCTGTGTGCAGCCTCCTCCACTCTCATGTTATCCTGTCTCTGCCTCTTCTTAAGGTCAGTGTTCACAGCAACCATTTCCACCCATTTTGTAAAATCCACAACCATCTGTCCCTCTGTATTACTCTCCTTAACACCGTACCTATCCAACACTTCCTCATCGCCTCTGTTCACTTTATCCGATTTCTCCAGAATTCCTGTTTCATCAAACATCCAACCTGCGGGGCACGGATGCTGACATCATTCAACATCACCCTTTCAATTTCCAGCTTCAAACTCGTGATCCTTTCCGACACTCTCTTCACCTCCATAGTACTGTTCACATTTTCTTCCTTCAAGATTACCCCCACTCAGTTTCACTTCTTAACCATACTGTGCTCATTTACTGAGAGTGGCAGAACTGGAACTCCTGCATAAAATGAAAGCTAAGGGAGAACATCCAAGTCTACACAAAAGGGCCCTCCCTGTCTGTGTGAGTTCAATACCAGGACCTTCTTACTGTGTGGCAACAATAGCTGCTTAGCGTGAGGACAATGGTCATCAGTGCTGGGTGCCCATGGAGCTTTATATGTAAATGTGAGAGTAGCAATGATCCCTACAGCTAACTCAGAGCAATAAGACAAAAGATAAAGGCCTGCCGTGTGGTATCGTGGAACGTAAGTCTGCATCTCTTTCTTCTCTTCTTTCCCCCCTCACCCCCAAACCAGTGGCAGCAGATAGCTGCCCCTCCCTGAGCCTGGATCTGCCTGAGATTTCTTCCTTTTCTTCCCACCATTGCAAGAAGCCTGCTTATGAGCTCATTTGAGTGTTGTGGGATTTCTCCAGAATACTGTTGTCTTCACCTTACAGTATAAACCACCTTGACGTGTCTGTTGTTGTGATTTGGTGCTATACAAATAAACCTGAATGAAATTACACTGAATGTCTTTGGGTGCTGTGAGTGTGTTTGACTGTTTGGCAAAGCCCTCAGCCATGAATAAAAGCACAATGTGAATGTGAGACTGTGTCACTAATGAGAGCTCAACTAGTCACAGATTAATTTACCACCAGAACGTTTAATGTGCTACAGCTACAATATATTTATTGTTGAGGTGTAAGTGGTACCTTTACGGTCTGGTTGTATTTCTGTAATGTTTTGTGCGCTACAGCGTCATAAATGTCCCCTTTGTAAAACACCGTTTTCACTAATAAAAACGATGCTGATGTGTTTGTGCGAAGTAAAGAATTTACACGATAGTACTGCTTGCTGATACGTGTTACATAGCAGTCTGTGTTTGTATGTGCACGGCTTTGGCTCGGGCTTTCTACATTTACAATACCAGTTCATGTACCAGGCAGGCTATAACGTTTGCTGTTGCGTTGTTTTTTATTTGCATTTGTCAGAGTTGTCGTTGTGTAATTCGTGTGCCTCCTTAAACAAATGGCGTGGACACCGGGAGGCTTGTTCACAGCCTTTGCGTGTGATACCGATCCAGCAAAAGCATATTTGAAGCTGAGAAATGTGGTACTTCCTGAAATTTCCCATGGCTTGCGAATGTAGCAGTGGCTGCCAGTAGAAGGAGCTCTTCGGTCTTACCTAATCCAAAAGGCAAAACATACACAAACATGGCGTTATCACGAGCGGGCGAGATGCTGTCCTCTCTTCGCTGTTTGTTGTATTTATTGGTCCTCAGCGTGGCAGGAATAAACTCGTCGACTCTTCGTCTTCATCCTGAGCAGCGTTACATGCTGCCGCAAAACAGAGGATTTTTCACAATAGAAGCAAGTGAGGCTTCACTGCACGGAGATGGAGGTGGCTCCGCGGCTCGAGCGCTGCATCTGCCCGCTCGCAGTGGAATCGAAGGCGGGTCGGTCTCCAGCGTCTACCCGCAGCATCGAAGTCGCCGGAGCGCTGGTAAACCGGCGATGCCAAAGGTGTACGGCCAGGTAATATAACGCATTAACTGCGTGATACCGCTCACTTTGACGCGCACATCGAGCTTCACCTCAGCCTGACCTTACTGGTATGGGTGGCGTAAAGAAATTACGCACTGTTGTTTCCGAAGTAGCATCAATTCCTGCACCTTATGCTTGAAGCAGGCTCCTGTTGTGTGGGGGTCGGTTTACCTGATGCCTTTAAACGTCACACCGGCAGTGTAACATTACAATTCACTAAACGTTCATTCAAATGAATGTAATTGGTCAGCGGCAACCTGTCCGCGACACTTTCGACTGTCGCTGAAGAAACGAGACAAAAGTAAGACACTGCGTATGTTCAACGGAGTTCCCGAAACATCTCCTTTGTCGTGCCAGGGAACGGAAGCGTAACAAGACCAGAAAAGTGAATTAGGCAGAGGGTTTGGTGTCAGTGTAAGGGGACTGGTGCTAACGCTAGGTGCGAAACAAATGTCCGTGTCTTTACCTGCCGTCTCCGGGGGGTGGGCTGAAGTGAAATCACCAAACGTGGATCCCATACAAAGAGCCCACGGAGGCAGACAGAGCAAGAAATTCCAAATTTTAAGTGGAATTATGCGTGGAGCTCTCCACACCCCAGGTCACTGACCTCAGTTTGGCTAAATGTAAAAGCAAATGTTTTCCTGGTGATTTGCACCTTTGGGCCACTTCCACAGCTGCTGCATTGGTTTGTCCACTTATCTGTGTCCTTGCCCCCCTCGCCCATAGTATTCTTTGCTAAGGAGAAGGTGGAGCCCAGTAATGGTTAACTACAGTGCTCTTAAGTGCTATTATAGCATTGGTATTCATTACAATGCATTGTAATAAATATAATGCTATTGCACTCTTTGTTGTCTTGTGGGATTATACAGTTATTGAGCATGCACAGACGACAGCATGATGAAGGTTGTTTAATGAAGCATTACAGCTTCAGTTGTGCTAAGGGAACACAACTGACAGGAAAAAACAGCTCACTTCCACTAAAGAAAAAGGAATTCATCACCGTGGTTCTCTATTTCAAGTATGATGAACTTTGCTGGAAACCTTTTCAAGTCAACTGGCTTTTATTGTCATCTCAACCACGTACAGTGGTACAGTACAGCTTGAGATGATACAGCGTTCCTCCGAGACCGCGGCACTACATATTACATACAACAGACGAACACAGGACTATGTAAAGTGCAATGTGCAAAAATTGCAAAAAAAACCCCAAGACAAGAGCCTGCAATGGAAATGTGCTAAATACTGAGTATTGTGCAAAAAGTAACTTGGTGCCTGAAGGTGTGTGTGTGTGATCCCAGTCACTGAGTGTTCAGGAGTCTGAACACCTGCAGGTAAGAATCTGTAGACTGTCGTCCTGCAGTATGATAGTAAACAGGAAAACTTTGGGTTCAGTTCTGAAAGATGAACAACATAACATCATTGTTTAAAGAAAACTTTTTATTATATTCCATATTTTCACCAACCTGCCACATCATTCTTTGTGAGGGGCAGCCAATCAGAGCAAAGGGAGGGGAAGAGAGCTAAAACACCTTTGGTCAGACAGTGGATCAACTGAGGGGCTCTGCTAAGGCTCACTATAAGATGCATAAGGATCATTTTCCAATGAGGCATACAGATAAATGTAAAAGATCCAGAGAATCAAATGGCTGTAAATTTAGGAAACAAGTCAAGTTACTCTTTTGAAAAAGCAGCAGAAAAAAGTTGGAGTGTGAAAACAAATATTGTTTAGTGTTTAATCGGTGGCAAAATGTATATATTGGTTTTCAAGGAACAGATAAAAGTATCTGTGTCTGTTTAAAAACCCAACGAATGCTTTGTACGAGAGAAGAGAGGCAAATGGACGTGTCCACGAGTTGTCATCGAGCTGCTTTCTCGTGCTGACTGACACTTCTGGTGATGCCTTCAGTCAAAACACAGCTATAGCCTCCAGAGAGTCACATCGGGATCATGTTTTGTCACTGGTGAACGATAAGGCTGGAGGAGGTTGGCTGGTCGAGTGTTTGCTCCTCAGCTTGCTGTCCCCGTTGGCTTGTAGTGGTTTGACTAAACTTGTTAAGGTCCTCGAGCAGGCATTGTAATTAGAGGTAATGACTGTCTGAGTTGGGTGCAGTGTGCATACTTGATCGTGAATCTGTTCACCTAATCAGCCTCGACTGTTGGAAGATGAGAATATCACAGGTTTGGATGACGGCATTAATGTGAAAGTCAGATGGAGCTGTGGACAATGGCAGCTTTATGTCAAACCAGAGTTCACGGCAGGAAGTTTCAATGTATTTTCTCTGTGTCCGAATGCGGGAAGCTTCCCTCATTGTGTCAGCCATGACCAAGCTAGAATGGTGAAAGCTTGAAAGCTGTGCTATCATTATTTCCCAGTCTTAGTAAGTCTTCATATCTAAGGACCTTCACTGGGCAAAATTCCTACTAAACTTCTAACACAACCCACCTGCTTCAGCGCTCACATGCTCTCTTGAAACAGTGTGTTGTCCTAGAAGTGCAACACTTCAAACAGCTGCAGTTTGTCTGATTTGCTAAAATTGATATTAAATAATTGATAAAAATGCAGAAACACCCAGGAGTTCACGATAGGACTCAAGTTATTAAAAAATAGAAAATGCTAAGATTTTATTAGGCTGCAAATGTGTTCAAGGTATTTTTTTTATTATTCATTGATCTGCAGAGTCTCACTTATTTAGTCTTTAGGTTTCTGTTTTTTCATATTTGATAACCTCGAACTAGAGTGTATTTGGTTTTAAAACCACTTAAGGGACACTTAAACTATGTAGAATTACACTTTTTTTGTCAAAGTTAAAAAAATGTTGCGTAATTCAGCACCTGAGGCGCTGCAGGTTCACACATCTGGATCTGAGCAGTGTTTTCTGTCTGTCTGTGAACAGCATTAGTCATGCCTCTGTTATTATGATCGATCATAACAGCACTACAGCGTTTTACATGGTATAAAAGTGTCGTAAAAAATATCATTATGGTAATATTATGATTTTGCCAAAATTAACTTGATCTAACTTTGAGGTTAAATCAACCAACCCTTCTTTCCACTGATGCTCTGTGGGTTGGGCTTTGGCTCAGCCACTCAAGGACTGTCACTCATTGTCCTGAAGCCATTCTATTCTTCTTCTAGCTGTTTGCTTCAGGTCAGGATTAAAAGTAAAGTTAAAGTAAATAAAACTGTACAAACTGCTGTCAGAGAGTTCCAGAGTCTGGGGGCCAATGTAGCTCTGTCTCTTATAGTTTTCAGCCTCATATGCTGCACAGCCAGCAGGACCCTGATCACATGACATCACGGGTAGGGATGCTAATCGAGAACCGGTTCTTGTAGCGACCCAGTTCTCGGTAGTTCAGTTTCTTTGAATTTTTAGTCTGTTTATCGATTTATCCGTTCCACTTGCACTTCACTATACACTACAAGTGATTTCAGTTCATGTACCAGTGAAGGAAAATAGTGGGTCAAGAGCACAGGTATGATGACGATGGTGAAGTGCAAACGCTCTGTGCAAGCGTCTGCACAGACGGCATGCTGAGGCTAAGCTAGCCAAGAATCCAGAGTGATGTTAAAGCTGACCCAGCCCTGCAGACTCACCTCCAACTTCAACAGGTACCAAACTGTTTCTACTGGTTTCTAAAGTAGAATCACCGTGGTGATGGCTTTGAAGTCTGTTTGTGCTGGTTTCATTCCTGCTTTGTGCTGTAAACTTTGCATTAATGGCTAAATACTAAATGGCGTTGTTCCCGCTGGTGCAGGGTCCGCTCTTCAGCAAAGGTTTCTCCACTTGGTTCTGTCCAAGGCGTCCTCAGGTGATGCGTTGACGGTCTTAATGTCTTCCTAAATTTTGTCCATCCACTGTTTCTTCGGTCTGCCTTGAGGCCGGCGTCTTTCTGGGTCGGTCCTCATAGTCGTTTTTGCTACAGAGTTCTCATCACTTTGAATCACGTGTCCATACCACCTCAGGCGGGACTCAAGCATCTTTTCCTTAATTGGGGCTACACCTAGTCGCTTCCGTATGTCTTTGTTCGTAACACAGTCCCATCTTGTAATTCCCAGGCTCCATCGAGAATGCGCATCTCCAATGGCGTTTAGGGCCAGTTCATGTGTGGTCAATGCGGGCAACATGCAGAGTCATACAGGGCTACTGGGCAACCACCGTTTTGTAGATTTTTCCCTTAAGTCGATCTGGCACTCTTCTGTCACAAAGGACACCAGTGACTAGAGCAGGGCGATATGACCAATAATATTTATCATGATATACATTTGAAAATTTGTTTCAATTCCTTGGAATCGTTTGCCACTTTTAAAAACGATTCCCTTATCGATTCCAGTCGCCCCGAATAACGTCATCACGTTGAGTAGCGTCTTTTACCCAGTAGGAAACACGGCGCCTGAGCGGCACAAACGCTCAAAAGTTTGGTTACACTTTATGAGAAAGGATGACAACAGGGCAACGTGCAATACTTGCAAAGTAGAGATTTCATCAAAGGGAGGAAACACTACGAACATGCAAAAGCATTTGCTCAAAAAACACGCGATTGCTTTCAACGAATGTCGTGTTTTTGATCCGCTCCGGACTAGCGAAGCTCAACCCAGCAGCAGCGATAGCGTTTCCACGTCCTCTCCCGTTAATACTGCAGGTAACTAATCAATTAGCATTGCATATTATGTTAGCGCGATTTACCTTATTACAAAACCTGCTATTACTGTGCGTTGCATTTAGATAACCATGATGAGAGAGACAGAGTCTGGCTCAGATGCTGGCAGTTCTCACTGCAGTCTACCGGTAGCGTCTCCTTTCAGGCCAGGATAGACGAATGTCACCCAGCAGTGTCTAAGTTTGTGGTCAAAGGCTTGCACCCATTTGCCACAGCAGATGCCCCCGATTTCACTTTGGTAAGTGAATGTGTTTAATTGTAGGCAGGGACATTACTGGATATTCTTGTGTAATTGCTACAGAATAATTTATGTTAAACTTTGTTATTGCTAC